GGAGACGTGAGAGTTACAACTCAACCTCGATTTATTCTCCAATAGCATACATACACAGTGGCAGCGGCAGCGGTCGCCCCACGAAGAAAATGTTGTCGCCCCTCCAAATTCAAGCGGAAACCCTTTGTGTTAGCAAAATTTTCCCCTAATGCAGGAAATAGCGTTTTAGAGGGTCTAGATTTCAAATTTGTGCATGCCCCCGGACCCTCTAGAGGTTGTGAGCAGATCTCGCCCCCGATGTAATATTTCGTGCCGCCCTATCTGACTTACAGATGTGAACTAAAACGCAAATGATCCAATACGAGTACCAAAAACGTACAACGTTGCCATAGATCTCGTCGAGTAACATTTTTTAGGGCGGAGGCGTTCTCATTTACCGAATATAAATACGGTGTTTACTCCGATGTTCGAACAAATATTGGCTAAATTAATGCTCGATGTGCTTACTAGGAGTTTCCCATAGAATTACATGCATAAAATGAAATACGGAGAAAACATATGGTTATGAAATGATGATTCTAAGAAGTATACTGTCAATAAATGTTACATGTATATGAATAAACACAAACATACATTATTCTATAAACCGTCAAAGGTTATGTATAAAGATCCATAAATAAACGAATGAATCCGGCCCATACATACTGGTATTTCTGGAAATTACGTAAATACATTGTGTGGTGATACTGAGCAGCAAATGTTTATAACCAGTTTCATCTATCGAGAACCTTGTGCAGCAACGCAATTTCACAGTTACAACTGCAACCCAGTTTATTTAGTTCGCGGGGCCACTTATGAAAACCCGTTGCAACAGCTCCCCGTCTACTAAATAGCTAATTTCTAGTCAACTACAGAATTGGGTTTTGTCAACCGTCGGAATAAGCTACTTTCGCCAGTAATATATGGGGAATTTGACGGAGGAGACATTCACAGCAATCGAATCAAAACAAAATTGAAACTGCGTGCTTTGCGAGCGGAAGTCGACATTTACGAAAACCTCGAATACAGCATAACTATGATTACTGCAGATGCGAGGCATGGCTGGTGAAAACCTGGCGTGACACTGACGTGATTGCTATTGGCAATGATACCCATAAATTCATTGCCAATGCAGTTGTTACCAACGAAGACATCCGATTTCGTAGCGCCATGAAATGAATGGCGCGCTACAAATCAGCCGTACAAGTATATCGGCATTTTGACAATAACGGAGTGAACGTAAAAAAATCACGTCCATAACAGGAATATGTCAATAAGTACCTGAGATACGAGAGCCCGGGAATGAGAATTAGAATGATACATGGTTCAACTTTTACTGAAAAAAAGAACCGTGATGGCACTACCAAGTCCGCTGAAAGGCCGGTTATTGACCGTGTCAGACGTGTCAGCTGTGTAATAATTCCTCCTCACTTCAGTCATCGCATTTGGAGAAGTATTATTCTCTAACCAACAGGCTCTGACGACCTCAGTCAGTTTCCTTGATGTTGGCGAAACGACCATTATTTAGAAATTCCCCCTAACTTTTATAAAGGCCGCATTGCCATTTTGAGCAATGATGCTTTATCGGAGGCGGCCCGGGACTATGGAGTGAATACTACATGTATAGCGGGGTCAGCTAATTTAGGTCGGATAATCGAATGTTGAGGTAATCGCAAGTCAAGCGAACCGAATATCAAGACAGTTGGAAGTGAAAATAACCGAATCTTATAACAATTGAATGTCAAGATAATGTCTAAATAACGACACAATTGTAACATTATGAAACAATGGCAACATAATATTGTAGCAATTGCACAATAATGAAATAATTAAGAAATAAAGTTGAAATAATGAAACAATAGCAATACGATGCTGCAGTAATAACACAATAATGGAATAAGCGCAAAATAATGTTTAAATAAAGACTAAATAACCGAATAATGACCAATAACCAAACAAGTTTCGAAATAAAGACCAAACAACTAAACAATGTTCAAATAATGACACCAAGCTAATTTTGGCGGTATTCTCACCCCATATTAACACAAGTCTTTCTTATTTTTTTTTTTATTTTTTATGCTGCTCTATTTCGAACTTTATTTGACTTGATACAACACATAAAATACAATGCAGTAAAATGATATAAAATTTATCAGATATAAAAAATATCTTGTCTTTAATTAATTGGAGACAATATTTGTTGGAAAAACTGATTATTATGCAAATAAAATTACGCAAATTAGGTGTATTGTTATGCAAATTGACCGTGATGCTTGACATGAAGTCTAGGGAGAACACTGTTAATCATATGGTCATATTAATAATAACCTAAAATATGACTTCCTTCCGGTGATAAGGAAGCTATTTTGAAATTGGGTTCTGAGAAGTTGGTTCTGAGGTTCTGAAAAGTTGGTTCCGAGTTCTGAAAAGTATACACTGTCTCGTCGCTGGGTTAAAAGGCGATGGTCGTCGTGCCACATCCTGTTCGATATGGGACTCATAGCGACGTATACAACGCATGCAAAATACATTGTTTGTTTACATGACGATTACCGCCCTTTAAGCGTTTAGTGTCTGGTATCATAATTATATAGAAACATATTTTGGGTCAAAATCATATAGCAATGTTCTCACTTGACATTGAATCCTTTGCGGTTTGCAGAATTCATGTATCATAATCATCACAATGGCGTGTATGATTTCATCTCAATCGAGGTGGGTTATTACGGGACGGCATCATAATTTTGTTTATAGTCAACAACTTTGGAAGCATCGATATCCTTCCCTCTATCGAACGCCATGAACACAGATTAAAAACAGCAGTTTAAA